TGAAATCCCTGAAGGAGGCTGCCGTCAAGGGCGTCAAGCTCGCAGATGGTTTTGGCAACGTCCGTCTAGTCTTCCCGCCTATTGTTGGCCTCTCTGGTGACCTTGTCGAGCACCTCGATATGGCTGCGCTAAGCAGCAGTGTCTCGCCGGTCTCAATGGCTGGCACGGCAGAGTTTGGCGATGGCCTGATACGTCCTCCTCGTACGAAGACCCACACACTGCAACAGCTCCATGATGTTAAGCGGCTTTTCGATCCCTGGCAGCTCCATGACTTCCAACGAGAATGCAGGAAGGTCGGACTCAACGGTGTCCACAAGCCGTGGTGGCGCGATTATCCTCTCACCGATCCATCCCTGTTCTGTGTCCCCGACCTCCTCCACTCCGTGTACAAATTCTTTTGGGATCATCTTGTCAAAGCAGCTCAGATTGCCGTTGGTGCTGCTGAGCTCGACCGCCGTTTTGGTGCATTACATCGACGTATCGGCTACCCGCACCTCCGACGCGTCTCCGAGGTCAAGCAGATGACAGGCCGCATGTATCGGGAGATCATGCGCAGCCTAGTTGTTCTTCTCCATGGCGCTGTCACACCTGGATTTATGCGTGCAATGCGTGCAATCCTCGATTTCTTTCTTCTCGCACAGAGCCCCCGTCATACTCCCCAGTCCCTTGCTTGGATGACGATACACCTCCGTACCTTCCACGAGAATAAGCAGGCCATCATGGACGCTGGTGGACGGGGAACACTCAATCACTGGCAAATTCCCAAGCTCGAGCTATTCACGAACTTCGTCCCTTTCATCTTGTCTAGTGGTGCACTGCCACAGTGGAGTTGTGACGCAGTTGAACGCTTACTGCGAACCGAGGCAAAGTTTCCATTCGCCGCACGTACCAACCGCCAGCGCACCACTTTTGGCCCACAGGTCGCACGTCATCTTGACCGTGTGGAGAAACTGCGGAATTTCCGACTATACACACTGCTCAAAAGTAACGGTGTGGAACTCGTTGATAGGCTGCCAACACCTTACGATGAGGGCGAGTACAATGACGACGACAAGGATGACGACGACAAGGACAGCAAGGACGATGACGAGGAGAATGCTAGGCCAGACCGAGATGATCATGTCGACGTTGCACGGTCGTGGGTTCTGCATGCTCTCCCCGATCCAGGTACAGAGTTTCGTATCCGTGGCCCACACCCCGTGCGCAATCTCTTTGTATCAGGGACCATTGCAGTCGACTCCGATATCGCCTTCCACATAAACCGCCGCCCCGATATGACATGTAGCGTCAACGAGGCAGCAAACATCTACAAGCTTGTAGACCTCCGGGCTGCTCTCGCAGACTACGCGCTTGGCTTTCATATTGATTCTCCAGCTCGACGCGGCGGCGTTGTACGAGTGTCAGGGCCATTGACCGATCTGGGCTTTGATCACCTGCGGATTTGGAAGAAATACCGTATACAAATTCGCTCTGTCCAGAACCCGGACATCCACACAGAACCACAGACACTCACGGCGTTTCCGCCGAGTGAGAGCCACCCATATGGGTTGTGCGACCCAGTCCTCGTGGACAGTTTCAGGGCGGACGGGGAGCCATGGCCAACTGGTGGGTAGTACTCGCATATTCCTTGACCGAATCTTTGAACTGAAACTATGACATCAGGTTCCTTTGTCGTGCAAGTGCGAATGGTTTTTGAACCTATACCCCGTCACCAAAACCAGTTGTTGCCCCCACATTTACTGACTCCCCTCGTCTACGTTCAAGACTTTCTATTTGCAGACCTCAATCACGAAGGGCGCCCTGCTCGTACAGCAGACATCTCCATGTATCGGCTTCAGCGGCGCTGTTACAGGGATGCTGCGAACATCATACACCGTGCAGGAGAGGTCTTCCCGCTTGCTAACATCATGCGTCCTGTCGAGCTGGCTCCTGTACACACAGGGCCTGTTATGGACAAGTCACTGAACACAGCGACTGCACTCGAGATCCCGATGTTTTTTTTCTTGAACGATATGTGGGATACGGAGATTTACGATGCGCTCCACATGCAGTACGAGCAGTGACAAGCCACACGAGATTATGTAATAATGATTTTGCGAACTTTTCCTTCAGGCTGGCGTAGTTTCACTTTCAGCAATAATATATTGAACACAATTGACGTCGCTGCCATCATATCCGGACCTGTCCTTACTCCCGAACAGATAATCTACCTCAAAAGGCATGGTCAATGTGATCGGGGGCGTTGAAGCGAGCTCAAGCGAGCTTGCTATGAAGGGCATCGGAGAGCTTGGAGACGCCCTGAGCGGCACGAAAAATGGGATGGAGGATCGGGTTGAACGTTGAGAGGTTGAAACAAGGTTCGCCGCACGAAGCGCGGTGCACAGAGTGATCCGAGCCGCCTGCCGCGACGCGCTTCTAGGCTTGTGCCGCTGCCCAGAGGACCAGCGGGCGCACCCCTTGGTGTGCGCGACGCGATAGCAGCTCGTAGAGGAGAGGGAGCGCGGCAAGTCCCCGTTGGAACATATAAGGATGTACGGCGGGAGGCCGCCGATCACCCTCGCGGCGCGCCAACCCCGACATCCCACCGACACGCGGCATCTGCCAGCGGCGGACCCGGCGCCCTCGCCTCGCGCTTCTTCTCGCACGCGCGAGCCCATGACGCCATGCCTGACCCGCACCTGCGCGCTTGCTGCCCTATCTCCGCCACGTGCATGCGATCGACTGCCCTCAAGAACGCGCGCGCATCCAGCCCCACTCCAGTGCGCTCCTCAGCCTGCTGCTGAGCTGCTCCCCTCCGTCCGACACGGCGCCCCCCGCGATGTCCTCTGAGTCCTCCGGCCTCGCGCCGCCCCCGCCCGTCACCGCGCCCGGCGACCGCGCCTCCCTCGGGCGCGCCGACTCCTTCGCCGACTCCGCCGCCGCAGGCCCCTACGTCCCCCGAGCACCGCCGCCCTCGAGCCCTCCGTCCCCTCCACCCCCGTCGGCGCCTACGCCAGCCCCGCCGCCGCCGCCGCCGCAGAGACCAGCCCGTTCGTCCCCCAGAGCACGAACCCGGACCCGGACCCCGAGGCCGCGCATCGCAAGGAAGCGTCGACCGGCTCGAAGGAGGCGTTGGCGGGGGAGGCGCGCACGGCGGGCGCAGCGGCGCGCCCGTGGTACCACTATCGCCGGCCGTGGATCTGGCTCGTCGGCGGCCTCGCGCTCGCAGCGCTCGTCCTCGTCGTCGTCCTCCCCGTCTGGTTCGTCGCCGTCAAGCCGCACCGCGACCGCGCGAGCGGCGCTGCGGGCAAGGGTGGTGGAGGCGGCGTGGGCGGCGGCGCGGTGACGGGCGGGAACGGGAGCACGGTGACGATGGCGAACGGGAGCACGTTCACGTACACGAACAGCTTTGGTGGATATTGTGAGTAGCGTCGTTTCCCCGCGGTCGCCCGCCCCGCGCCATGTGCTGACCGCGCGCTCTCCACGCAGGGGTGTACGACCCCGCGGACCCGTTCAACAACTCCGCGCGGGCGAACGCGTGGACGCCGCCGCTGTCGGAGCCGTGGAACTTCAGCACGCACCGCATCAACGGCGTGAACCTCGGCGGGCTGTTCGTCCTCGAGCCGTTCATCACGCCCAAGTACTACCAGCAGTACGCCGCGGCGGGCGCGATCGACGAGTGGACGCTCGACACCGCGCTCCGCGCGCAGGCGAACATCACCGCGGTCATGCAGGCGCACTACGGCGCGTTCGTCTCGGAGCAGGACATCGCTGAGATCGCCGGTGAGCAGTCTGCCTGCCTGTCTCTCGCACGTCGTGCGCGCGCGCTGGGAATGCTGACGGGCGTGGGGGTTCGTGCGTAGGTGCGGGCCTGACCTGGGTGCGGATGCCGATCCCGTTCTGGGCGATCGAGGCGTGGAGCGACGTGGGCGTCGCGGACGGGACGACGGTCGCGGAGCCGTTCGTCGCGCGCATGTGCTGGAGCTACATCCTGCAGGTGTTCCAGTGGGCGCGCAAGTACGGCCTCCGTGTCAACCTCGACTTGCACACCATCCCTGGGAGCCAGAACGGTCGGTCTTCGTGATCCTTTCGCTGTATTCTACTGAGGCGCTGATCGCGGGGCGCAGGGTACAACCACTCGGGCAAGCTGGGCACGGTGAACTTTTTGAACGGGATGATGGGCATCGCGAATGCGGAGAGGGCGCTGGAGTATATACGTGTTATCGCGGAGTTTATCACCCAGGTGCGTGCTCTGCTGTGCCGCATCTCGTCGCGGACATTCACGAACTGCTCTGCAGCCGGAGTACCAGCCTGTCATCCCGATCTTTAGCATCGTGAACGAGGCGCTCCTGCAGACGATCACGCTGCCTGTGCTCACCACCTTGTGCGTCGCTGTGGATCCATCATCGCTGTCTCATGCTCACTCTGGACTGCACAGCTATCTGAACGCACACTGGATGATCCGGAACATCACGGGCGTCGGCGAGGGCAGCGGGCCGTACATCGCGATCCACGACGGCTTCATGGGCACCGCGTACTGGGCGGGCTTCCTCGAGGGGAGCGACCGTGTCATCCTCGGTGCGTCGCGCTCTCGTGCCGGTCGGGAAGCGCTGCTGACGGACTGCTTCCCCTCACTGCTCTTCGCCTCCGGCAACTGCCGTCTCCCGTGCCTGCTCCTCTCGTGTGCCCCTGACGCGCGACTGCCTTCGCCGCTCGCTCACTGCCTGTCAACGTGCCAATCGCCCGGCCTGCCCTCGGCCCCGCCGACGCCTGGACCATGTCCTCCTTCTCTTCTGCCGCGCGATCGTCGCTGCTGTGTTCCCTGCGTGTCTCCGTCTCCCCAAGGTGCGTCGCTCGCGTCTGCCGCGTCTGACATCCGGTGCTCACGCGCACGCAGACGGACGGCTTCCACGAGCTGGCGCTCAACGACGCTTCCATCCGCCCGCCCAGGTCCACCCAAGTCCTTGTCACGGCTCACGCCGTGTCCCTCCAGGTACGTCCAGTCCGTCTCCACCGCTGATCCGAGCCCGGCGCTTCCTACCCCCAGTTCTGCGGCCGCGGCGCACCCGTCGACGGGTTCCTCACCGAGTACAAGATCCTTCCCGCGCACATACCTACCCCGCATTCAAGTGTCGAGCACCGAGCGTACAGGACTGTGGGGAGGCGGACGCGCTTGTGAGGAGACGAGCATAGGGCCCTCGATCTTGGCGACACTCCACGTTCCCGCACGTAACCGCCACTCTCGCCCGTGGCGTCGTTCTTCTCTAGCACCCGATTGCCTTTCGCCGTCCCTTCCGGCCCGTCTCGCATCCTCTGTGACCTCTTGCAGCCCTCGTCCTCCCTCGTGTTGCTCGCTCTTCAAAACACTTATGCATCGCACGTGCCGCGGGCTGCGTGAACGACCTACGGACTTCTCTACGCGGAGACGAGGTTGTCTCCTCACACCTGACCCCCGATCGTGCACGTTGGAACCCTCGAATACGGTACGACAGACAACTCCATGCATATATGCTGACGGCTACGAGCTATAGGTGCACACGGCGAATGATGGCGGCACAGCGCGTCGCTGCGCAGAAGACGAGACCCAGCAGCGGGGACATCATACCCCGCACAACCGACAGACTCGTCGCGTACACCGAATCACTTGCGACCGCGATCGACTTCCAGCCGGCTGTGCGCAAACCGGGGACACATGCTCCATTCACCTGGATGCACGGATCGCTGCGAGGCAGCGATCTGCACGTCCCGGCGGGGAGCGTGTCCTCCTCTCGGGCATTGTCCTCAGCCGTCATCCCTCGATACCACAAAACGCAGGCCCAGCGCGTCGCAGCTCGGGAACTGGGCAGCTGGTTGTCAGTGCTACATGCGCTCGCTCGATCGCTGGCGCCTCGAGCAAGCCACACGCGATCAGCACGGCTTGCTGCTGGGAGCCCGCCCGAGTCCCTCTGGCCGCCCCGCAACACCGAGCGGTCCTCTTCTAATCGTCTGTTCCACCCCTCTACTCTGTTTTTCGCCACTAACCCTGTTACTGCTCAGGCACCGAGCCACTACGCATAACCCTCCCGCAACGCCCGCCGATCAACACGCGCCCGTTCGGGACGTGTCCCCACGACGATCGCTGGCCCCGGACGTAGCATCTGCTGCTCCCCGCGGGCCGTCTACGATCATCATCTCGCCTCAAGCCGAGCGGGAAGCATACGACGACGGACCACGAACAAGTCAGGACGGACACGTGGAGGGCTGGACGGTAGACAGCTGCGATCTGCGCGGGCTGGTCGAGGAACGCCGTCTGCGGCCAAACGTGGACCAATTGACGGAGCGAGGGTTACCCGGGCGGTGACGAGCGCGGTAGGTAAGTGTCTGCGTACCGGGACGTTCAGCAGAGTGAGCGGCGAGACGGCAGGTGGACGGACGGACGGTACTCACGTTGTCCACGACGCTGGACCATCGAGGGCCGTTGCTAGGTCGCCGGACGGCCACGCCTAGCGCGGAAGGCTGGGTTGTACGCGTCAGGGGCAGGAATACCACAGAGTCGTGACGCGACGGCTTACCGACGAGTATTGTGCCTGTGACGAGGGCGGATCGTGCCTGCGGATATGATCAGAAGCGAGAACCCTGCGGGAACACAGGAGTCACGTACCACGCGCGACTCACATACCGTCACTGGTGGACTTCATGGACGAGCAGTGTGTAGTTGATAACGCGGCAGACGGGTAGAGTAGCAGGTCGGTTAAATTACTGAGACAGCTGTGGCGTGACTTACCTCCCTTCATCATTCGACAGACGTCTCCCCGTAGCCGACGTCTGCCGCGACAAGAGTGGCATCACCGGGGACTACGACCGGGCGTCATGAGACACAAACTTCGAGTCGGCGGGCGTGTCGGCGCGAACTGCGTGAGGATGGCTGTCGTAACCTATGATCAGCCCGTGCCGAATCCCGCGAGATTCACCCAACATGGCACGTACCTCGTCGGCGTCGTTCAAGGTGGGACACGTCGACTGTGTGCAGGCGTGAAAGCCGTCGGCGAGCTTGCGGGCCCAGGGTTCGGCGAGGTGAGTCGCGTGCCCTACAACGTACCCAATCAGTGATGAGCAACGTCAACAGGTACAGGGCTTACCGCGGGTTGCAGGAGTGCAGGACAGGACGAGGCGGGCAGAGCAGAGGAGCATGGGGACGGGATGACAGCCTCTCGCCTCCTTATATCCCCACCCTCGCCTGTCATCGTCCTCGCGACCCGGGCCCCGCCCCGTCTCCATACACCGTCGGCTGGCAGTGACAGGGCTTCTGGTGCGCACTGCCGTCGCGTCTCGTCGCATCCCTGCACACCAGGCCGGTTGACGCGCTGCTGCGTTGTCACGGCGGGTTGCAGGGATGTTCCTGCGACGGTCGCGAGATCGTCGATTGCGCAGGCTAGCGCGGACGCGGCGCTCGGGCGGCAGGTACGCGTCGCCCGTCAGAAGTTTCCGTACCACCGGGAGTCGTCTAGGACGTGCTCCCCGGGAGAACATCTGACGGCGCCGGGACATGTCCCTATGTCAGGTCACCCAGCCTCCAGGTTCGAGGAACCGTGCTCGTCGACGGTCGGGTGCCAGTGCAGTAGCGGCCAGGGAGGCAACACTACAGCACGCCAATGACCGTGGACTGGTCCTGCGTGTGCTGTCTCGGCTCGACTGACGAACACTGCAAGTCAGCCATGGAGATCAGTCCGGCACGGTAGCAGCCGTCCTGTGTTACGACGGCGCACGGGTGTACGGAGCCGCGACAAGCTTCCAATCTACGGTACGTCTTCTGTTTCCTTTCGCTTACCACGGTGAATCACACAGGCACGCAGATGCTCGCCAAACGCGCCGTCTCCATGTCGAACGGTGGCGTGGATCTCGAATTGCGTATGCGGGACTGTCGGCCTTTCACCGACGACTCATCTGTTGGTGTGAGTACTCGGAAGACATCCGTCTCATTCGTAGGACTGACATACATTTATGCATGACTGTGCTCGTCAAGCCGGCGACGACGACACTGCTTCGGCTCGACTGACGAACACTGCAAGTCAGCCATTGAGATGAGTCCGGCACGGTAGCAGCCGTACTGTGTTACGACGCACGGGTGTACGGAGCCGCGACAGGCTTCCGGTCTACGGTACGTCTTCTGTTTCCCTTCGCTTACCACGGTCAACTATACAGGCACGCAGGTGCTCGCCAAACGCGCCGTCTCCATGTCGAACGGTGGCGTGAATCTCAAAATGCATCTGCGAGGCAGTCGGCGTGAGTACTCGGAATTGCTAGGACTCACATATGCATTCATGCAGGACTGTGCTCGTCGAGCCGGTGACGGCGAGACTCTCTCGGTGCAAGTAACTCGGTGGAATGACTGCGAAGTACATTCCAGTCTTCCGCGGACGATGCTGACCGGGGTGTTCTGCGCGCCGTGTGAGCCGTTGCGCGGAGACTTATGAAACAGGGACAGTACCTGTTGGGTTCTTCGAGCCGACGACATCGCGTCCGGCTACTGTTACGGTCCCTTCGCTCGGTACTGCTTTCGTGTGGTCAGAGATTACCCTGCGGGAGGGACTTGAAATGGTACCAAGTGTGGACCAAATTCACTTGAAGGTACGAGCTTGTGTATCGTTCGACAGCTGTACTGTACCATTAGTACATGGTTTCGTCAGTAGGAATCACGAACATGTCGCCGCTCGCTATGCGTGACACAGATCACTCTGTGCGGGGGCGGTGTGTTTGTGCTTGGTTACTGTCGGTACACGTTCGGCAGGTACCATCTCATGGCACCGGGTTGTAGTCGGGACCTTCGCTTGAGTCGGCGCGAGTGACCTTCGTGACGGTATATTCACGAAACCCCGGGAATTGCGCCGACGCGAAGCTATTTCGTCTGCGGCAACATGAGTTCAGGTCCACGATTGGATGGTGTGCCGAAATGTGACCTAATATACTCACAAAATACAGACTCGGATGTCCCAGCGACTCTATAAAATGAGCAGCAGTGCGTGCATCTTCCACGTTGTTGTCCGAGTCTCGACAGTTGGCCATAGTCCGAGTCTCTCATTGGTCAGTATCTCTCGCTGTAGGCTGAATTTCCGGTGTCTAATCTTCTCATTCTGCAGGTTGCCCTCATGCCGAAAACACGACAGACTCGAAATGCTTCAAAGAACGCTGCCGACTTCTCGACGCGATTCACGGGCATGCGCAGTGAACTCCGTGAACTCATAACCAAAGGCCTTCGTATGTATTCATTCATCCGACTTCAATCTCTCACACTGACCCTGCGCCTAGGCGAGTTCACCGGGAAGCCCGGACTCGAAATGGTCTGGACACGAGACACGTTCCTCGAGCTTGTCAAGGCCGAGCGGGTGCGGCTCCGTGGCTGGCCGACGAGGATCCCTTTTGCGAACTTCAGCAAGCTTCCTGGAGCCCAGAAAGCGGTCCGGGAGCTGCGCTACCTCTGGGATCGGAAGGAGCTGGTGTGGGAAAGCATACCCGATGCCGAGTTTCCGGCCTTAGATCTGGTATCCGCCTTGCCGTCGTGGACTCCGAAGCAACCGCGGAAGCTCAACATTGGGCGTAGTGACATCGGGAGTACCCGAGAGCGGCGTGTGACGCGCGCTCGCTACCCACGTTCCGGGGCTAAGACTCCGGCGATTGTTAGCTCGTCCCTAGACTCCGAAATTGAGGACTTTAGTGATGAGGAGAGGGTGACTGGAAGGGCTCGGAAGCGAGTGCGGCGCGAGTACAAGAGTGCAGAGTACATTGCTGACTCTGATGAGGCTGAGCCCGACGAGATTGACGAATTCTCAGACTGATGGTACTTAGCACGAAATAGACTCTCTTGGACCTTTGCACTCAGAGACAGTCAGTACGTTGTCAGTAGGATTTCCCAAATTAGGACAGTAAACCTGCACTCCGATTGGACTGGATGTCAGCCTCGGATATCCAACCCGATTAGGCACCATGGCCCGCAGGACGTACCTGTAACCATGGCTCCGCCGACAGCTGCCGCCGGAAGCATGGTTACAAGGTAGGCGCTGAACGGTCACTGATCCGATTGCCGTGGTACGTACCTCAAAGGCTAGACTCACCTTAGGGCACTGGCAGGTTGCTGCATCGACAACTTGTTTTACGACGTAGCAGTAACACCGACACTGATCTTACAGTATACCCAAATTTGCACACACCCATTCTCTCCGTCTTCCACACCCTCACGTGCATAGTCACTCCGCGAGGAGCCCATTCACAAGGCCCTCTCCCTCCGGGTCGCGGCCTCCTCCTTGAAGTCCCGTTGAGTTGTGCTTGGACGTGCACTGCAACACGAAGACACTATCAGACTCTAAATGCAATGGCCTGCCCAGCGAGGGAGTCGGAGAGAGGCTGGATACGAAGATGATGGTACGAGCACAGTTCTATACACTACTGGTACTTAGCTTATCTTACAGAATCTACAGGTCAGCGTGAGCGTACAGTACCCAACAGTCGATCATGTGCATGCACAAATTCTTTGCTCACGTAACCGACTGTTTCGCCACCACTTCCTCGCCTCAACGAGCTCAAACACAACGCATCAGGCCCATGATTCACCTACCGGGCACGACCGCCGCTGACCTATCAAAACAACGTCGTGCGGACCTGCGAGTGGTCGGCCGTACAGGTAGGTATCTGTCTGTGACTCTGGGCGTCCTCTGCTTACTTCGCAATGGCTGTAGGTGAACCGTGAGCAATGGCCCGCGATGGTGCATCTCCCATGTATCCGGGCGATCTACATGATTCGCCGCGTTCAACGGACTTGAAGCTGACGCGCCCAGTCTTCTACCCGCCCAGGCAATCTGGATCGACTTCCCGTGTGCGGGAGGCAAGCAGACTCACCCGAGCGGGCCTCGCTGCGACGACTTGCGAAGACGCGACATAGCATATTCTGGCCCAGACACGCGTCTCTTCATGCCTGCACCTGCATCTCGTGAGTACCCGCATGTTTCTGTCTGGATCATCCGCTCACTGCATGACGTTGCCAGGCGTCGAGACTTGCATCCCGAGAGCTCCGCGGTGGTACAGCGCCTGGCGCCGCATTGATCGTGCCGATGCACGTCACCAAGCACGTCTTCAGGGGAGCTTTTGTACGAAACCGTTGTCTTGCATGCACGGCGCGAGATCTGGCTTACGAAGATACCAGATGTCGCCGTCCAGCGAGCAGACTCCAGCTGTAAATGTTTCATGCATCGCCTACTCGCGTGTCCCGCCGTGCTCACCACACGTCCGTGTGTGGACATTTCAACAGGAAACATCCCAGCTTCGTTTGTCTCAGTCCGATTCCGAGCGCCTGCCATTTCCGGCGCGCATAATCCCTAATTCACCTCTCGTACCGTCGTGTTCCGATCAGTGCCATTCCCGCTTCCCGTTCCTTCTCGTTACTGCTCATGGTACGACTGAGCCTCCACCGAATCCACCGACTTTTTGTATCAACGCCGAGTCCCGTGCTTGACTCCTCGCCCCATTGGACTGCTGCCGACGCACGTCGCCCGGCCAACAGCACGGAACACGTTTCATGGTCAGCTCACTGACCTGGTAAGGCATTACCTCCAGGCCACGGTACGGCGACTTCTGGTACCCCGTACCATCGACTTCTTTCCCGCTGCCGTCGTCGACTTCTCGCCTGCCCTGGCTTGACTGTGTCCCACTCCGCGGTCTCGCTCGTGAGGCTTCATATACGCTAGGTGAGTCATGAGCTGTCTGTTTCGGATGACTCGTGGGGCTTACTGTGGTACCAGTGCGACGAAACCCGGGATGGTACAGCGAGGAAGATCGCCCGGTCCCCGCGGCGATCTCGATCGTGAGATGGTACCGCCGACTCGATCGCCAACCACGGGCATGCGAGCGAAACGGTACGCGCGCAGCCGTACTGGTTGACGGAGGGCACGTCAAAACATCGCCGAGTACTGGTGGGTTCGAACGAGCTTGTGTGGTGAGTCACGAGCTGTCTGCTTTGGGAAACTCGTGGGGCTAACTGGGGGTATCAGTACCGCAAAATAACATTGAAGACGGGCGCTCAGCTTCGCTACTGTCTCGTTCGCGAGACGGTGCAGCCGGCTTAATTGCCAGCCAATGGCGGTCCGGGGATGGGTGCGGTCCCAGAACATCGCCGGCTACGCAAGTGGCGGGCTCATAGACGGTACGGAACATTGTTCCCGCTTCACGCAATACAATAGCGCGGGCGTGCCATCGACTCTCATTCCTGCTCACGGTACGACTCTGAGCCCCTGCCGACTTCCTGTAGCAGCATCTACCTCTCGTGCTCGACGCCTTGCCTCGCTGGGCCGCTCCTGACCTCGCGTTGGCTGGCCAACAGCGTGTAACACGCTCGGAATCGCCTCCCGCTGATGGTACGGCCGGGTCCAGTACCATCATCCCACCGACTTGTGCTCCCGCGCCGCCGCCAGTCACTTCTCGCGTTGGCTGTGTCCCGCTCCGTCGTCTCGATCGCAATGATTCCTACAAGCTGCAGTGAGTCGCAAACTGTCTGTCTTGGAATGTCTCATGAGGGCTTACTGTGGTCTCAGCACCGCGAGAACTCAACGAAGAATGCCCGGCCCCGTCACGATCCGTTTGTGAGATGGTACGGCTGCGTCGATTGCCATTCACCGGCAAGAGCGAAACGGTATGTGTCTGGGGGCGCGTGCGGCGTCGCAGTTCACGGGGGGCACGTCAGAACATCGCCGGGCGGGTTTGTAGGTGGTACTTACGGAGCGTACCTTTGTGGTGAGTTGCGCACTGTCCATTTTGACCGACCTGTAAGATCTCACTGGTGTATCAGTAGCGCCAAGACTGGAAACGATCGCCCGATCTCTTTTGTGAGATGGAAGTCGAAGGAGAGCTCAGCAGGACATCGCCAGGGCGAGTATGCGACCGGCGAGTCCGTAGGCAGTACGGACCAACGATCCTGCTTCGCAACACAACGCGGGGAGCGCAGTCGTGCGTCTGTGAGTCAATTCTCACGCGCGTAGGCGGCGAACTGAAACTCTGACAGGCAGGGCTCGGGAAAGTAGTTGGATGGATGAGCCTCGTAGTACGACGGTACCAGCACGCGAGCAAGCGGAGTGGGGAGTGGAGGACGAGGGGTCGAGGATGCACGGGAGGACGTACCTTTGTAGCCGTAGACAGAGTCCCTGAGCGAAATCGACAGGAAGCGCCCGCGCTGCTGCCCCATGAAGGGCCTGCTGTGTGTCGCCCTACAGAGCCTTCAAATGCACTGTGTGTCGCCCTACAGAGCCCTCCAATGCGCCTTACCCCAACATTGCGCATGGTACTCCCCTCGTCATGTCTTCGCGCGCAGCGGTGTGAAGCGATCTATGACGTCACCGCGTGCTCTCGAGTCCGCGACTAACGCAGAGTACCTCCAGATCACTTCCGTTTGTCTCGTTCATTGGTCGGCCACCCTCAATCCGCCTGGCCACCGAGCGGACGCGCCGGGACGACGGTGAGCGCTGAGCCGTGTCGTTACCCACGGAGCATCGCTGAATTCCTCGCCGGCATAGACCTGCAGTGAACACTGAACACCGGCGACGGAAGTTGGATGATATCCACGCATCTGCAGGGGCCGCAATGCGGCATTGCTGACCTTACGCCGTCACGGTCTGTTGGTCTGATCATCCCGGCGCGCTGTGTGTAGCTGGCATGCCTGGGCGCGAGCACCAAAGCCGCATCGCAGCGAGGCGTGCAGGTGCAAGTGATGCGGGCCCTGTGGAGTGAGCCTGCGAGTCGTTCTATCAACAGATCAGGGCGCCGTACCTCGTTCGACACTATTCTTATCGCACCCGCGATCCCTCGCCCAGTCAAGTTCTAGTTATAGGCTCCAGCAACCTTGGAGGGAAACGAGCTGGGAGGGCCAGGGAGGCTGAGAACGGGGGCGAGGCGTTGGCGAGGGCCCGCCAGAGGATCGGGTTGAACGTTGAGAGGTTGAAACAAGGTTCGCCGCACGAAGCGCGGTGCACAGAGTGATCCGAGCCGCCTGCCGCGACGCGCTTCTAGGCTTGTGCCGCTGCCCAGAGGACCAGCGGGCGCACCCCTTGGTGTGCGCGACGCGATAGCAGCTCGTAGAGGAGAGGGAGCGCGAGTCGAGCGTGGCAAGTCCCCGTTGGAATATATAAGGATGTACGGCGGGAGGCCGCCGATCACCCTCGCGGCGCGCCAACCCCGACATCCCACCGACACGCGGCATCTGCCAGCGGCGGACCCGGCGCCCTCGCCTCGCGCTTCTTCTCGCACGCGCGAGCCCATGACGCCATGCCTGACCCGCACCTGCGCGCTCGCTGCCCTATCTCCGCCACGTGCATGCGATCGACTGCACTCAAGAACGCGCCCCACAGCGCACCTCTCAGCCCGCGGCCGTGCTTCCCTCGAGCTCCTCCCCTCCCCTCCCCGACAGGCACCCAACCACGGCGCCCCCCGCGATGTCCTCTGAGTCCTCCGGCCTCGCGCCGCCCCCGCCCGTCACCGCGCCCGGCGACCGCGCCTCCCTCGGGCGCGCCGACTCCTTCGCCGACTCCGCCGCCGCAGGCCCCTACGTCCCCCGAGCACCGCCGCCCTCGAGCCCTCCGTGCCCTCCACCCCCGTCGGCGCCTACGCCAGCCCCGCCGCCGCCGCCGCCGCAGAGACCAGCCCGTTCGTCCCCCAGAGCACGAACCCGGACCCGGACCCCGAGGCCGCGCATCGCAAGGAAGCGTCGACCGGCTCGAAGGAGGCGTTGGCGGGGGAGGCGAGCACTGTAACGGCAGGCGCGCGCCCGTGGTACCACTATCGCCGGCCGTGGATCTGGCTCGTCGGCGGCCTCGCGCTCGCGGCGCTCGTCCTCGTCGTCGTCCTCCCCGTCTGGTTCGTCGCCGTCAAGCCGCACCGCGACGGCGCGAGCGGCGCTGCGGGCAAAAGTGGTGGAGGCGGCGTGGGCGGCGGCGCGGTGACGGGCGGGAACGGGAGCACGGTGACGATGGCGAACGGGAGCACGTTCACGTACACGAACAGCTTTGGTGGATATTGTGAGTAGCGTCGTTTCCCCGCGGTCGCCCTCCCCGCGCCATGTGCTGACCGCGCGCTCTCCACGCAGGGGTGTACGACCCCGCGGACCCGTTCAACAACTCCGCGCGGGCGAACGCGTGGACGCCGCCGCTGTCGGAGCCGTGGAACTTCAGCACGCACCGCATCAACGGCGTGAACCTCGGCGGGCTGTTCGTCCTCGAGCCGTTCATCACGCCCAAGTACTACCAGCAGTACGCCGCGGCGGGCGCGATCGACGAGTGGACGCTCGACACCGCGCTCCGCGCGCAGGCGAACATCACCGCGGTCATGCAGGCGCACTACGGCGCGTTCGTCACGGAGCAGGACATCGCTGAGATCGCCGGTGAGCACGCGCCCCGTGTCTATCGCTCGTCGAGTGCAGGACGGGAATGCTGACGGGCGTGGGGGTTTGTGCGTAGGTGCGGGCCTGACGTGGGTGCGGATGCCGATCCCGTTCTGGGCGATCGAGGCGTGGAGCGACGTGGGCGTTGCGGACGGGACGACGGTCGCGGAGCCGTTCGTCGCGCGCATGTGCTGGAGCTACATCCTGCAGGTGTTCCAGTGGGCGCGCAAGTACGGCCTCCGTGTCAACCTCGACTTGCACACCATCCCTGGGAGCCAGAACGGTCGGTCTTCGTGTGCCCTTCGCTGTATTCTACTGAGGCGCTGATCGCGGGGCGCAGGGTACAACCACTCGGGCAAGCTGGGCACGGTGAACTTTTTGAACGGGATGATGGGCATCGCGAATGCGGAGAGGGCGCTGGAGTATATACGTGTTATCACGGAGTTTATCACCCAGGTGCGTGCTCTGCTGTGTCGCATCTCGTCGCGGACATTCACGAACTGCTCTGCAGCCGGAGTACCAGCCTGTCATCCCGATCTTTAGCATCGTGAACGAGGCGCTCCTGCAGACGATCACGCTGCCTGTGCTCACCACCTTGTGCGTCGCTGTGGATCCATCATCGCTGTCTCATGCTCACTCTGGACTGCACAGCTATCTGAACGCACACTGGATGATCCGGAACATCACGGGCGTCGGCGAGGGCCACGGGCCGTACATCGCGATCCACGACGGCTTCATGGGCACCGCGTACTGGGCGGGCTTCCTCGAGGGGAGCGACCGTGTTATCCTCGGTGCGTCGCGCTCTCGTGCCGGTCGGGAAGCGTTGCTGACGGACTGCTTCCCCTCACTGCTCTTCGCCTCCGGCAACTGCCGTCTCCCGTGCCTGCTCCTCTCGTGTGCCCCTGACGCGCGACTGCCGCGACGCGCTCTTCGCCGCTCGCTCACTGCCTGTCAACGTGCCAATCGCCCGGCCTGCCCTCGGCCCCGCCGACGCCTGGACCATGTCCTCCTTCTCTTCTGCCGCGCGATCGTCGCCGCTGTGTTCCCTGCGTGTCTCCGTCTCTCCAAGGTGCGTCGCTCGCGTCTGCCGCGTCTGACATCCGGTGCTCACGCGCACGCAGACGGACGGCTTCCACAAGCTGGCGCTCAACGACGCTTCCATCCGCCCGCCCAGGTCCACCCAAGTCCTTGTCACGGCTCACGCCGTGTCCCTCCAGGTACGTCCAGTCCGTCTACACCGCCGATCCGAGCCCGGCGCTTCCTACCCCCAGTTCTGCGACCGCGGCGCACCCGTCGACGGGTTCCTCACCGAGTACAAGATCCTTCCCGCGCACATACCTACCCCGCATTCAAGTGTCGAGCACCGAGCGTACAGGATTGTGGGGAGGCGGACGCGCTTGTGAGGAGACGAGCACAGGGCCCTCGATCATGGCGACACTCCACGTTCCCGCACGTAACCGCCACTCTCGCCCGTGGCGTCGTTCTTCTCTAGCACCCGATTGCCTTTCGCCGTCCCTTCCTGCCCGTCTCGCATCCTCTGCAACCTCTTGCAGCCCTCGTCCTCCCTCGTGTTGCTCGCTCTTCAAAACACTTATGCATCGCACGTGCCGCGGGCTGCGTGAACGACCTACGGACTTCTCTACGCGGAGACGAGGTTGTCTCCTCACACCTGACCCCCGATCGTGCACGTTCGAACCCTCGAATACGGTACGACAGACAACTCCATGCATATATGCTGACGGCTACGAGCTATAGGTGCACACGGCGAATGATGGCGCCACAGCGCATCGCTGCGCAGAAGACAGCAGCGGGGACATCAGACGTGTCACCCCCGCACAACCGACAGACTCGTCGCGTACACCGAATCAATTGCGACCTCGATCGACTTCCAGCCGGCTGTGCGCAAACCGGGGACACATGCTCCATTCACCTGGATGCACGGATCGCTGCGAGGCAGCGATCTGCACGTTCAGGCGGGGAGCATGTCCTCCTCTCGGGCATTGTCCTCAGCCGTCATCCCTCGACACCACAAAACGCAGGCCCAGCGCGTCGCAGCTCGGGAACTGGGCAGCTGGTTGTCAGCGCTACATGCGCTCGCTCGATCGCTGGCGCCTCGAGCAAGCCACACGCGATCAGCACGGCTTGCTGCTGGGAGCCCGCCCGAGTCCCTCTGGCCGCCCCGCAACACCGAGCGTTCCTCTCCTAATCGTCTGTTCCACCCCTCTACTCTGTTTTTCGCCACTAACCCTGTTACTGCTCAGGCACCGAGCCACTACGCATAACCCTCCCGCAACACCCGCGGATCAACACGCGCCCGTTCGGGGCGTGTCCCCACGACGATCGCTGGCCCCGGACGTAGCATCTGCGGCTCCTCGCGGGCCGACTACGATCATCATCTCGCCTCAAGCCGAGCGGGAAGCATACGACGACGGACCACGAACAAGTCAGAACGGACACGTGGAGGGCTGGACGGTAGACAGCTGCGATCTGCGCGGGCTGGTCGAGGAACACCGTCTGCGGCCAAACGTGGACCGAGTGACGGAGCGAGGGTTACCCGGGCGGTGACGAGCGCGGTAGGTAAGTGTCTGCGTACCGGGACGTTCAGCAGAGTGAGCGGCGAGACGGCAGGTGGACGGACGGACGGTACTCACGTTGTCCACGACGCTGGACCATCGAGGGCCGTTGCTAGGTCGCCGGACGGCCACGCCTAGTGCGGAAGGCTGGGTTGTACGTGTCAGGCGCAGGAATACCACAGAGTCGTGACGCGACGGCTTACCGACGAGTATTGTGCCTGTGACGAGGGCGGATCGTGCCTGCGGATATGATCAGAAGCGAGAACCCTGCGGGAACACAGGAGTCACGTACCACGCGCGACTCACATACCGTCGCTGGTGGACTTCATGGACGAGCAGTGTGTAGTTGATAACGCGGCAGACAGGTAGAGTAGTAGGTCGGTTAAATTACTGAGACAGCTGTGGCGTGACTTACCTCCCTTCATCATTCGACAGACGTCTCCCCGTAGCCGACGTCTGCCGCGACAAGAGTGGCATCACCAGAGACTACGCCCGGGCGTCATGAGACACAAACTTCGAGTCGGCGGGCGTGTCGGCGCGAACTGCGTGAGGATGGCTGCCGTAACCCATGATCAGCCCGTGCCGAATCCCGCGGGATTCACCCAACATGGCACGTACCTCGTCGGCGTCGTTCAAGGTGGGACACGTCGACTGCGTGCAGGCGTGAAAGCCGTCGGCGAGCTTGCAGGCCCAGGGTTCGGCGAGGTGAGTCGCGTGCCCTACAACGTACCCAATCAGTGATGAGCAACGTCAACAGGTACAGGGCTTACCGTGGGTTGCAGGAGTGCAGTGCAGTGCAGGACAGGACGAGGCGGGCAGAGCAGAGGAGCATGGGGACGGGATGACAGCCTCTCGCCTCCTTATATCCCCACCCTCGCCTGTCATCGTCCTCGCGACCCGGGCCCCGCCCCGTCTCCATACACCGTCGGCTGGCAGTGACAGGGCTTCTGGTGCGCACCGCCGTCGCGTCTCGTCGCATCCCTGCACACCAGGCCGGTTGACGTGCTGCTGCGTTGTCACGGCGGGTTGCAGGGATGTTCCTGCGGCGGTCGCGAGATCGTCGATTGCGCAGGCTAGCGCGGACGCGGCGCTCGGGCGGCAGGTACGCGTCACCCGTCAGAAGTTTCCGTACCACCGGGAGTCGTCTGGGACGTGCTCCCCGGGAGAACATCTGACGGCGCCGGGACCATGTCCCTATGTCAGGTCACCCAGCCTCCAGGTTCGAGGAACCGTGCTCGTCGACGGTCGGGTGCCAGTGCAGTAGCGGCCAGGGAGGCAACACTACAGTACGTGAATGGCCGCGGACCGGTCCTGCGTGCGTTGCTCCGGCTTGCCAGACGAACGCTGCAAGTCGACCATGGATATTCGGCACGGTAGCAGGCGTCCTGTGTTGCGATGCACGGCTGTACGGAGCCGGCGACAAGCTTCCGATCTACAGTACGTTTTCTGTTTCCATTCGCTTACCACGGTGGATCACACAGGCACAAACGTGCCGTCTCCGTGTCGAACGGTGGCATGGATCTCGAATTGCGTATGCGGGACTGCGGGCCTTTCACCGACGACATCTGTTGGTGTGAGTACTCGGAAGACATCCGTCTCATTCGTAGGACTGACATGCATTTATACATGACTGTGCTCGTCAAGCCGGCGACGACGACACTGCTTCGGCTCGACTGACGAACACTGCAAGTCAGCCATTGAGATGAGTCCGGCACGGTAGCAGCCGTACTGTGTTACGACGCACGGGTGTACGGAGCCGCGACAGGCTTCCGATCTACGGTACGTCTTCTGTTTCCCTTCGCTTACCACGGTCAACTATACAGGCACGCAGGTGCTCGCCAAACGCGCCGTCTCCATGTCGAACGGTGGCGTGAATCTCAAAATGCATCTGCGAGGCAGTCGGCGTGAGTACTCGGAATTGCTAGGACTCACATATGCATTCATGCAGGACTGTGCTCGTCGAGCCGGTGACGGCGAGACTCTCTCGGTGCAAGTAACTCGGTGGAATGACTGCGAAGTACATTCCAGTCTTCCGCGGACGATGCTGACCGGGGTGTTCTGCGCGCCGTGTGAGCCGTTGCGCGGAGACTTATGAAACAGGGACAGTACCTGTTGGGTTCTTCGAGCCGATGACATCGCGTCCGGCTACTGTTACCGTCCCTTCGCTCGGTACTGCTTTCGTGTGGTCAGAGATTACCCTGCGGGAGGGACTTGAAATGGTACCAAGTGTGGACCAAATTCACTTGAAGGTACGAGCTTGTGTATCGTTCGACAGCTGTACTGTACCATTAGTACATGGTTTCGTCAGTAGGAATCACGAACATGTCGCCGCTCGCTATGCGTGACACAGATCACTCTGTGCGGGGGCGGTGTGTTTGTGCTTGGTTACTGTCGGTACACGTTCGGCAGGTACCATCTCATGGCACCGGGTTGTAGTCGGGACCTTCGCTTGAGTCAGCGCGAGTGACCTTCGTGACGGTATATTCACGAAACCCCGGGAATTGCGCCGACGCGAAGCTATTTCGTCTGCGGCAACATGAGTTCAGGTCCACGATTGGATGGTGTGCCGAAATGTGACCTAATATACTCACAAAATACAGACTCGGATGTCCCAGCGACTCTATAAAATGAGCAGCAGTGCGTGCATCTTCCACGTTGTTGTCTCGACAGTTGGCCATAGTCCGAGTCTCTCATTGGTCAGTATCTCTCGCTGTAGGCCGATTAATTTCCGGTGTCTAATCTTCTCATTCTGCAGGTTGCCCTCATGCCGAAAACACGACAGACTCGAAATGCTTCAAAGAACGCTGCCGACTTCTCGACGCGATTCACAGGCATGCGCAGTGAACTCCGTGAACTCATAACCAAAGGCCTTCGTATGTATTCATTCATCCGACTTCAATCTCTCACACTGACCCTGCGCCTAGGCGAGTTCACCGGGAAGCCCGGACTCGAAATGGTCTGGACACGAGACACGTTCCTCGAGCTCGTCAAGGCCGAGCGGGTGCGGCTCCGTGGCTGGCCGACGAGGATCCCTTTTGCGAACTTCAGCAAGCTTCCCGGAGCCCAGAAAGCGGTCCGGGAGCTGCGCTACCTCTGGGACCGGAAGGAGCTGGTGTGGGAAAGCATACCCGATGCCGAGTTTCCGGCCTTAGATCTGGTATCTGCCTTGCCGTCGTGGACTCCGAAGCAACCGCAGAAGCTCAACATTGGGCGTAGTGACATCGGGAGTACCCGAGAGCGGCGTGTGACGCGCGCTCGCTACCCACGTTCTGGGGCTAAGACTCCGGCGATAGTTAGCTCGTCCCTAGACTCCGAAATTGAGGACTTTAGTGATGAGGAGAGGGTGGCTGGAAGGGCTCGGAAGCGAGTGCGGCGCGAGTACAAGAGTGCAGAGTACACCGCCAAATTTTTGAGATGTGTCAGCCAGGCAGCCACCAGCTTGAGGATACCGCGTTAAGACTGTGCGTCACCGGCATCACTAAAATGTGGTCGCCAGACTTCATCGCAAATGGATCCGGTCCGATTCCAGGTCAGAGTGGCGGCCACGCGTTACGGCCGGGCATAGTTTGTATTGTAAACCCATATACAGTACACACACTCGTCTTTCTTCCCGTTGGCCGCGTCGCCATATGGTGGCCACATGGCGAAGCTTGCTGGATTCTGTTCAGTGGGTCCGTCGATTTTCACCTATGCGAATATATACCATCCATCCGTTTGTACTGCGAGTATCCATCCAGCTGTCCTGACAGCCCACATAGAAGCAGCAACATCGCTACCATCCATTTGTACTGCCAGTATCCATCCAGCCGTCCTGACAACACACATAGAAACAATGACCTCGCGACTGCCTTCCCTATTCTATGCGCGTCATATATAGTAACAGCTGTAAACTGTAGTATGCATTTTCTCGCGACCGCCCTCCCTATTATGTGCGCGCCATACATAGTAACATCTGTCGTATGCATTTCGGTGCTCCTTCATTATAGATACCATACAACTGATGGTATTATGGTCGCGACACAGCTACGGACAATATGTAGATACATCGCAATTCAATGCTGGCGACAGAAAGTAATACCAATGAATATATCAATCAATTCCGAGTCCCTGACTCCCTTGAACTCCCTGGCGGTTAGGCCTCGGTACTAGCGTTCCCGACAGTAGAACCCCCATCACCGACCTGAGCGTGTACGCGACCCTCGAGGATGTCGTCGACCTCCTGCTGCTGTTCATCAACCTCATCCTCAAGATCATCAACCTCGTTGTCGTCACGCCCATGCTTCTGGCGATCTTGCTCAAGGAAGCGGCGCAGACCCCTGAGAGTCGGACGATGCGTGAGATGTGAGCATCAAATAAAAATGTATTCAAGCACACAGTGACGTACTTGATCCACTTGCGTTCACTGCCATCAGCATCGTGACGCAGTTTGGTTAGCTCATCATCAATCTTGTCCCAGAAGCAATTGCCACGATTCTCCGGCAGCATGTAGATCGCACGCTAGTAGATGTTAGACTGAGTAGTCCGACGTTATGGTTAAGATAGTGCACGATGACTCACCATGAGAGCGACACGGGCGCATAATGGAACACTGACGGTGCACTTGGTGTTTTTAATCAACGCTGTCGTGAGGTTGTAGATAGTGTGGTGGGTCGACGGATTGATGCCCTTGGTGCTGTTACGAAGCTGACAGACGAAACAAATAGGTAAGGATTGTACTAATGTGCTTCTCACCAGTGAACAGTGGACGTACCAATTTCTTGAATGAAGCCCGAATATTAGTGAACTCAGTTGATACGACCTTGACTATTTTCTTCCAGTTGGCAACATTGCGTTCGATCCCGACCGGAATGTCAAAGCGCAGGGTGCGTATGATGTCCTGGCCATATCCAATACAAGATTAGCCAAGATCAGACTATACATACTACTTCGACACTTACCAGGACGTGGTTGACAGGGGTCTGACCCTTGTATGCGCTGATCTTGCTCGAAAGCATGACAGCCACGACGTAATGATGGGCATTGATCTGCAGCTCTTTTGAAGGCGTCCACGGAGGCATCGACGTGATGATACTGTCAAGCTTCCTCTCAAGTGACAGCTGCTGTGTATAGATCTTGACGTCGCGTGCACCTGAATCATTCTAAGTGATCTATTGTCAGCTTGCCAGGGCATGCACGAGAGGACAACATCGGAATAGATACCATTGCGAATGACTCCACATCAGCCAGCTGTTCGCCTCGGAGCCCTTTGCGCAGGCCATGTCGCCTGGCAAAAGCCACGAGATTGGCAGAACCTGTCGTCATGGCAGCTGGGGTCGCATCCATGGCTGCATTGGTCAAGAGAGCGGCAGGAGGGCGCGAGATTCCAGGTGGACCATCAGGTTCAAGGTCACTACCATCAATGTCGGCCTGTGTACGCAGGCGTTTCTTGGTTCGAAGCGGCGTAGTCGGAGGCGTGTCCTCGAGCATGGCTGCCCTGACAGAGGCGAACACATCCACATCGCTGTCTGCAGGGACGGACTCGGATCCATGTGTCTGAGCCATGATTTCAGGAAGAGGGAAAGACGTGGGGAGAGATGCAGGTCAGTAACAAAGCGGAAAGGCTCCGTATTTATATGCGCACACCTGGTTGCCTCGCAGTCCGTTTCGGGGTTGCCATTGTCTGGGAATGATCCCAATTGGCTGACCATGCACTGCGGATGACGGCCCAGACGTGAACCGCCGTGGCGGTTTGAAATGTGAAACATCAAGCGAAGACCACTCAGCATCCAGAACGGGAAAGCGGCGGCGGCGATCACTTCAATTTGTGACACGCCACTCAGGTTGCAGCGAGAAATTCTCTGTGTCCAGACTCGTGCGATATGCCTCCGGTCCCAAAAGCAATTGCGAGCTGTAAGGATTGTCCAATTGAACTTAGGAATAAATTTGGGCTTACTTTGTGATGGAGGTTTCACGGTATCTGAAGATGGAAAGAAGATTCGTTGCCAAGTTTGTATGTTGCACGACCCTCTGCAACGCAATACGTGGATGAAACGTGGATCTGAAAAGACACACCTCAACTCTCTGGGTCATCGACGTGCAGGTGAAGCGGATGAAGCTGTGCGTATGCAACAGGAGATGTCTGCAGCGCGTGCGGCCGCCTCCGAACCTGTTGAAGCTGTGGAGCTGAATGCAGTTGATATCCCCGATTCTGGCCCCAGCGCATCACAGCCAATGAAACGTAGTGCGGCAGAATTAGCAATGTGGGATGATGATGACGGTGCCGACTTCCAAGTTGACGATCTGGACCAAGATTTGAACACTGCAGCCACAGAGGCACAGGAGAGGCTCCGACGCGAGGCCGAGACGTTCGGCCTGTGGAATCCGGTGCTTGCTGCTCGAGAGACAGGGTTTGGAGATGCGGAGAGCGGAGAGATACTGAGAGATATGTTGGGCGAGGATCCAGAAGGCGATGATATTCTAGATGAGTTGCTGCGAAATGCTGGTAAGCATAGTGTCTCAACTCTCAGTCTATGTTCGCATTTTGCTCACATGATGGGTACGTAGCACGGATGCATGATGAACATCATGATGAGATGAACAACAATCCTTCTCATGAATCAGGAAATCCAGAGGACCATTCCCGCAGCTGGTTTCCGTATGAATCTAAAGTTGTAAGTGTTCCGACAGACCAGATTGTATGGCATACTCACAATACTATCTTGGTATGCGTCTCTCTTTCAGATGTTCCTCCTGGACATGATCGATAATCTCCCCCGGTTGCGGATATCCAGCTCGCTGATGCGTGTTCTGTTGTGGGTCCTGAAGGAGATGGGGGTGCGTCATGTACCATCTTTGGATCGCCTCCGAAAGGTGCAAAAGGATCTTCGTCAATCAAGTGGTGTCGAATCAATTGATTGTGTCTCGGTCCGCGGCAACCGGTTCACGCTCAATGACCCTGTTGCCTTGGTCGCGAAGGCAAGTCAATGATGTTGGATGATCACCTGTGAAAGTACTCACCGTAGACTCTGAACCCGGCTTGCATTGCAGGACTACGCGAACCCATTGACCGTACCATTGCTGGAACGATATCCCGTTAAACCGGATGGTAAGATCAGTGAGGTGTATCACGCTCAGAAATGGCACCAAGACGTACCCCTGGACGCTCTCAGTCCAATGTATGATGATCGCAAAGGCCACCAGCATTTCTATGTCAATGAACTTGCACAGATGCGGGATGGATCGTTCGTCATCCCATTCCGATGGGTTACATACCACGAGAAGCTTCATGCCGATGCATTTGCTGTTATCATAACACCGGTAAGCTTCACAGCGACTATTCCAACGCAATCTGTGACTCACATTACGTTTTCATGGCCAATCAGGATGGTATTGCAGATATTGTCGACGAAACAAAGCTCTTTGTTGCTGCACACGACCTTGCAAGTAACTATCTCGCCCTCAAGGACCGAGGGCACCTTCCGTTAGGCTGCAGCTGTGAGTACTATGAGCTGTCATTTTGTCGTGTTAGAGGCCATGTGACTGAACAGCCAAGAAGCTCGCTCCTTAGACCATGGATATCCTACGGAAATGCCCAACCCACTCCGTCTAGTCGCTAAGGGGCGGCCACTGTACACCAGCTTTGTCGACTATTTCGGTGATGACGTATCAGCAAATCGGTCAAAGGCATGGAACAAACATTGGAACGGATACATCACTCACCGGAATCTACCCCGCCGCATTATCCAACAAGAGTTTCATATACACTTTGTCTCCACCTCCCCGAATGCAGGAATCGCCGAACAGTTTTGTGCTGCAAAGAAACAGATACAGTAAGCAAGTCGCGTGGAATTTCGAGAAACTTATGCTCACAGCAATGCCTTGGAATTCTGTGCAGAGCGACACACACGGAGCCAGTAGTTGTTTTCGATGCAGCCACCGAAGACGAGGCGGCTCTTCGGTTATACGTGAATGCAGAAACCTCTGATAACCCGATGTCGAGTGAAGTTGCATCGCATATAGGCGGTCAAGGTAATTACCTGTGCCGCAAGTGCGACACTGGTGGTACGGACAAGGACAAGGAAAGTGATGAAGGGTTTGAAAAGCTATTCACTGTACGTATTGTGCAATTCCGAACTGATCATTCAGACAAGCACGCTGACCGGGACATTGTTTGAACAGTCGGGCAACCTGCGCAGCAAGGAGGCGATCATAAAAGAACTCACCCATCAAATATTTGAGGCGTGCTCTGGCGTGGCAAAGCGGGTCTCGACTGCTCAGACAGATTCCGGGGTCAAGGACGCATACACCCAGTACTTCATCGAGAAGCTCATTGCAGAAGCTCGTACGCTACGGGACGACAATCCAGAGATGACTATCAGTGAAGCCCAGAAGTTCTTGTGGGCGAAGTACAGCGGGGAGCTTAACGAAATGTTAAGTCCCTTCCTATCTATGGAAGGTAAACGTGATAAGCTTCTTGCCATATACGCTCGCTGACGCTGTTGCGCCCAGGCTTTGACCCGTCTCAGGACACCCCGGTTGAGCTTCTGCATACCATCCTCTTGGGCATCGTCAAGTATATCTGGCATGCAACTCATACGAAGTGGAATGCGGCCCAGAAACGCACATATGCATTGCGACTTCAAGCAACCAATCGGGATGGATTGTCTATCCATCCGATCCGTGCAAACTACATCATGCAGTATGCCAACTCCCTGATCGGACGTCAGCTCAAGACTGTTATCCAGACTGCCGTCTTCCACGTTCACGACCTTGTCGATCCCCTACCATTCAGATTATGGAAAGCTGTTGGTGACTTGGCGGTTCTTCTCTGGTTCACTGAGATATCGGAGCCAAACCTCGAGCAGTACCTGGTATGTTGCTAGATTTTGCTGTCATATATCCGAGACATCTTCCGACCAATCTGTGTTTTATCAGGCCGATATTGAGGTTGCCGTGGCAAACGTGCTCGACCTATTTGCGGGCATGGACGCCAGCCAACTATTGGAGAAGATCAAACTCCATCTGCTCAATCATATCTGTCAGGACACTCGTCGATTTGGTCCTTTGCTCAATGTGATCACCGAGTCATACGAATGTTTCAACGCTGTTTTCCGTGCATGCTCTATTCTTTCCAACCATCTTGCTCCCAGCCGCGACATTGCCAACCAACTCGCAGATCTCGAGGGCTTCAAGCACCGTCTTACCGGTGGATGGTGGGCTGATGATAGCACAGGTACTTGGGTTCGTGCTGGTAGCGACGTCCGCGACTTCATGCAGACATGTCCAATGCTTCAGACCATGCTTGGATGGTCTGATCCTGCCCATCTTAAGCCAGGTACGTCAAGCCCACACTATCGTAAGCTTGTGGCGAGGCACGCAAATTGATCTGTGGCACAGCATCCGTAAGGCTTGTACCGAATTCTCGCAGCCGCCCCGCAGTCGATCTCCTGGCTCTGGCCAGTCATGCACTCAATATTGCGGAGTTCAAACCCCTCGCTGGATGGCTCAAATGTGCGTCTGCTGTGTCCCAGAGCCTTGACGAGTGTTTCGACGGATCCTGGATATATGCGGATTCATCCATTGCAAATGTGCGTACACCGATTTGAGCATTCATCCAGTAAGTTTTAACATCAGTACTACTCCGGCATAGGGAAGCCCAATGACTGGGCGAATCACTGCGATACTCACGCGCTCAGTTGACTCGCGCGACTCGGATGTGATTGCCATCATCGATGTGTATCATGTGTCTGCGCACCGCCATGACATCTATGATATGCCCGTGTTGACACGGAGACATGGCGAGGATGAATGCCTGATTATCCCTGTGAAGGTACGCTGTGTCATTACATGACATTCGTCCATAAATCTACTGTTTCTGATCCTCATGCAGAACTTAAAGTTCAAGTACAATGTACAGCACGACTGCGTGAGCGGGAGGTGCTCTGCCACCGGCGCACGGCCCCGCATGCAAGAGCGACAGGAAACAACCATCACAGAAGAGTACATTGAACACGACCCTATTGACCGTTGGATCATCAACACCCTCAGCTTCCATAATGCTCATCTCATCCGAGAAATGCTGCCGCGGTCACTTTGGGCACCCACTCCTTTGCATAACTCCGAGGACCGACAGGCGAAGCATGATGAATATGCGGCAGAAATGCGCGAGAAGCGGAATGGTAAACGTGCAGTGCAGAAGGAAAAAGCAGATGCTAAGCGAGCTGCTAACGCGAATGTGGATCATGGTGCAGTACCCGTGGATGGAGTGGGAGGTCGAAAGCGAAAGCGGCAGACTGGATCTTAGTGGTAGATATTTGTGCGAGGCTCAAGTCCGTAAGCGCCCTAGAAAGCGTTCTCTCGGGTTCTTCCCATCTATAATGAATGTTCGGCACCTACATGCATCGAGAGCCAGAATTAAAACCTGGTTTTACATATATAAAAAACGTACCCCGACGTCGTACTTCGAGTAGAACTGGGACAAGGAGGGCCAACCGGAAGTACCGGCGCCTATTTCAGTTGCAGACGCGACTCGGTGCCAACTCTCGGTGAACCTGCGCCCGCTTCTCCTCTGTCCATCGCACATCCCAGGTACGTCGTTACTATCTTCAACTCATTCCTCGCACCTCATCATCTCTGACTCTTAGTGCTTTCTGCAAGAGAACACAGACGACCAGACGAGAAGCTGACCTGAGGGTTGCATGGAAGGATATGGGCAGAGGTGAGTATCTGGCAGCTTCCGAAACTGTTCCAAATACGACGGTGCACAGGCGTCCTCACCTCCTGTGTGCGAGGAAGGTCATTGACAGTGTGGAGACAGCTGGATGAAGCACGGTCTCTTGCAGCAGATTCACGTTGATGTGCGCGTAGGGGATCGGCCCTGGTGAAGCATCCGTGGTCTGTTTGAGCTTTCTTGCTTCTCATGCTGAGCTTGCATCGCAATGACGTCGCCCTCACTCGCTGAATGCCATGCTCGCTCTAAAACAGTACTGATTGATATTTGCCAGCCACCTTCCACACGTTGAAGATACACGTTTGAATCCATCATAACTTACCCTGCCACCCACTCATCCACATCCCTCAGTCGCCCTCACGTCACCCTCGTGTCTACGTGTTGCCCGTCCCGCCCTAGCCTACCATCTACGTCACCCTTTCCATCATCGTCACTCCCTGCCCTTTGGTCTTCGCCAGCCCGCACCATCCAGCCCTGCTTGCCCGTCTTCACCGCTGCCTCCGCATCCCTGTCACCCTTGCTCCACCATCCCATCACACCCCCCGCCAATGTCTCGCTTGACACAACTTCAAGCCCATGCCCCGCCGTCTCGCCGCATCCACGGACACGCCACCGTGCACCTTCTGTGACCCCATCCCCTCGAGCTTCAAGCTTCACGGCTCATCGTCGTACGTCGACATGCACGTCCTCATGGCGTCGCCCCTCACGTCTATTAGTACGTACATCGTCTCGCGCCCATGTCCTCGTAACTGATGTTCGCCACGCCTCTTGCTTTCGTTCGCGCCACGGCCCAGCATTCCCGCGTCACCGAAGTTGGTCATTTTTGGCAACCGCAACACTGGGATTCGGCCGCATCGAGTGTGCCATTCTGAGAAGGGCATCCTCGTGCTGCACGCTGCTGCTGCCATGGCCCATCGTCCTGCGTTCCTCCCTCCCTCGCATTCAAGTTCGCACATGGCACCCCACGCACATGGAGCTCGCAATCGCCCCGGACGAACATCGTCGTGGATAACGACTATGGAGTGTAGATAGTGGGACTACGTGTACTTAATACGCGACTCAAGACTGCAATAGATTCGAATACGTGCAAGCACTTTGAGAAGGGCCCGCCGCCTCGGGCCTGCTTACATGGCTTAGCACGCTGGCCGCCCTTAAGCCACATCCGCGCGAGGATGGTAATCTCGATGCTAATGCCATGGGCTCGTCATACATTGGGTGATGTGATATATATGTTGAATTAAGCCAATATTCAGCCTGAGCAAGTGATGTCTACCAGCCCGACTTAGGTCTACTCACGACGTGGTGGACATATGGAATAGAGATCAATGTATTGCTGAATACCATCCATACGATCGACATCTGCGAGATGCCCTTGAATACATTGTTGCTTGCTGTACGAGCGGGTCTCTACTGCCTGCTCGATCCTATGAAGAGAACACGGCAGCCGGCTGGAATCCATATATCCGCGCGGCGGGGGACCACATGTCTCAAAAAGGTAGATTATGGGTGGCAATTACATGAGTACTCTAAAACCCGTCGACCGACTTCCACATGTGGCATATTTCTGGTGGCTACGCGGGCAGGATTTGGCGGTGTACATTGCTGACTCTGATGAGGCTGAGCCCGATGAGATTGACGAGTTCTCAGACTGATGGTACTTAGCACGAAATAGACTCTCTTGGACCTTTGCACTCAGAGACAGTCAGTACGTTGTCAGTAGGATTTCCCAAATTAGGACAGTAAACCTGCACTCCGATTGGACTGGATGTCAGCCTCGGATATCCAACCCGATTAGGCACCATGGCCCGCAGGACGTACCTGTAACCATGGCTCCGCCGACAGCTGCCGCCGGAAGCATGGTTACAAGGTAGGCGCTGAACGGTCACTGATCCGATTGCCGTGGTACGTACCTCAAAGGCTAGACTCACCTTAGGGCAGGTTGCTGCATCGACAACTTGTTTTACGACGTAGCAGTAACACCGACACTGATCTTACAGTATACCCAAATTTGCACACACCCATTCTCTCCGTCTTCCACACCCTCACGTGCATAGTCACTCCGCGATGAGCCCATTCACAAGGCCCTCTCCCTCCGGGTCGCGGCCTCCTCCTTGAAGTCCCGTCGAGTTGTGCTTGGACGTGCACTGGAACACGAAGACACTATCAGACTCTAAATGCAATGGCCTGCCCAGCGAGGGAGTCGGAGAGAGGCTGGATACGAAGATGATGGTACGAGCACAGTTCTATACACTACTGGTACTTAGCTTATCTTACAGAATCTACAGGTCAGCGTGAGCGTACAGTACCCAACAGTCGATCATGTGCATGCACAAATTCCTTGCTCACGTAACCGACCGTTTCGCCACCACTTCCTCGCCTCAACGAGCTCAAACACAACGCATCAGGCCCATGATTCACCTACCGGGCACGACCGCCGCTGACCTATCAAAACAACGTCGTGCGGACCTGCGAGTGGTCGGCCGTACAGGTAGGTATCTGTCTGTGACTCTGGGCATCCTCTGCTTACTTCGCAATGGCTGTAGGTGAACCGTGAGCAATGGCCCGCGATGGTGCATCTCCCATGTATCCGGGCGATCTACATGATTCGCCGCGTTCAACGGACTTGAAGCTGACGCGCCCAGTCTTCTACCCGCCCAGGCAATCTGGATCGACTTCCCGTGTGCGGGAGGCAAGCAGACTCACCCGAGCGGGCCTCGCTGCGACGACTTGCGAAGACGCGACATAGCATATTCTGGCCCAGACACGCGTCTCTTCATGCCAGCACCTGCATCTCGTGAGTACCCGCATGTTTCTGTCTGGATCATCCGCTCACTGCATGACGTTGCCAGGCGTCGAGACTTGCATCCCGAGAGCTCCGCGGTGGTACAGCGCCTGGCGCCGCATTGATCGTGCCGATGCACGTCACCAAGCACGTCTTCAGGGGAGCTTTTGTACGAAACCGTTGTCTTGCATGCACGGCGCGAGATCTGGCTTACGAAGATACCAGATGTTGCCGTCCAGCGAGCAGACTCCAGCTGTAAATGTTTCATGCATCGCCTACTCGCGTGTCCCGCCGTGCTCACCACACGTCCGTGTGTGGACATTTCAACAGGAAACATCCCAGCTTCGTTTGTCTCAGTCCGATTCCGAGCGCCTGCCATTTCCGGCGCGCATAATCCCTAATTCACCTCTCGTACCGTCGTGTTCCGATCAGTGCCATTCCCGCTTCCCGTTCCTTCTCGTTACTGCTCATGGTACGACTGAGCCTCCACCGAATCCACCGACTTTTTGTATCAACGCCGAGTCCCGTGCTTGACTCCTCGCCCCATTGGACTGCTGCCGACGCACGTCGCCCGGCCAACAGCACGGAACACGTTTCATGGTCAGCTCACTGACCTGGTAAGGCATTACCTCCAGGCCACGGTACGGCGACTTCTGGTACCCCGTACCATCGACTTCTTTCCCGCTGCCGTCGTCGACTTCTCGCCTGCCCTGGCTTGACTGTGTCCCACTCCGCGGTCTCGCTCGTGAGGCTTCATATACGCTAGGTGAGTCATGAGCTGTCTGTTTCGGATGACTCGTGGGGCTTACTGTGGTACCAGTACGACGAAACCCGGGATGGTACAGTGAGGAAGATCGCCCGGTCCCCGCGGCGATCTCGATCGTGAGATGGTACCGCCGACTCGATCGCCAACCACTGGCATGCGAGCGAAACGGTACGCGCGCAGCCGTACTGGTTGACGGAGGGCACGTCAAAACATCGCCGAGTACCGGTGGGTTCGAACGAGCTTGTGTGGTGAGTCACGAGCTGTCTGCTTTGGGAAACTCGTGGGGCTAACTGGGGGTATCAGCACTGCAAAACAACATTGAAGACGGGCGCTCAGCTTCGCTACTGTCTCGTTCGCGAGACGGTGCAGCCGGCTTAATTGCCAGCCAATGGCGGTCCGGGGATGGGTGCGGTCCCAGAACATCGCCGGGTAGCAAGTGGCGGGCTCATAGACGGTACGGAACATTGTTCCCGCTTCACGCAATACAATAGCGCGGGCGTGCCATCGACTCTCATTCCTGCTCACGGTACGACTCTGAGCCCCTGCCGACTTCCTGTAGCAGCATCTACCTCTCGTGCTCGACGCCTTGCCTCGCTGGGCCGCTCCTGACCTCGCGTTGGCTGGCCAACAGCGTGTAACACGCTCGGAATCGCCTCCCGCTGATGGTACGGCCGCCGGGGGCAGTACCATCATCCCACCGACTTGTGCTCCCGCGCCGCCGCCAGTCACTTCTCGCGTTGGCTGTGTCCCGCTCCGTCGTCTCGATCACAATGATTCCTACAAGCTGCAGTGAGTCGCAAACTGTCTGTCTTGGAACGTCTCATGAGGGCTTACTGTGGTCTCAGCACCGCGAGAACTCAACGAAGAATGCCCGGCCCCGTCACGATCCGTTTGTGAGATGGTACGGCTGCGTCGATTGCCATTCACCGGCAAGAGCGAAACGGTATGTGTCTGGGGGCGCGTGCGGCGTCGCAGTTCACGGGGCGCACGTCAGAACATCGCCGGGCGGGTTTGCAGGTGGTACTTACGGAGCGTACCTTTGTGGTGAGTTGCGCACTGTCCATTTTGACCGACCTGTAAGATCTCACCGGTGTATCAGTAGCGCCAAGACTGGAAACGATCGCCCGATCTCTCTTGTGAGATGGAAGTCGAAGGAGAGCTCAGCAGGACATC